GTGTTACATAGATTTTAAGGTGGGTGGCGTTACTTTTTTAACCGTCGAGTTTTAAAAACGTTTAGCATCTTGTTGTTCAATTAGCCAATGGCTGCTGATGGCTTGGCTCCCTGAGGTAATATTGTAAAGCTGTCGATAGGTGGCAGTATTTGGCGCCAAAATGTTCATGGTCCCGCCTTTAAGACCACTTTTGTCACAATGGGAAGAAACGTTTTAAAAAGACCCAAAGGAAAACATTGCCCACATCATGCTTACGTGTATAGTGGTATAGCTTTTAGATCTGGGATAAAATTAGAAATAACAATACTTGGAAAAATTTCTGTAAAATATTTTGGGATAAATATTCAAACGTTTAAGTTTGACAACTGAAAATATGAAACATAGTATTTACTTTGTTGGGTACAACCATGTTCAGAATTAAAACCCCTTACACATAGGGCTCCTGGTGCAATATGCAGTCACATACAGGAAATATAGGCTGCCATCAGATTCTTGAATGAAGTCCAAACACCAACTCTATAGGTGACATACAGGGTGTGCCATATTTTCTTAATTTCCGCGTTTACTGTAGATATCTTAAAGAGTTGAGTTTGTCTTTGCTACAATCTGTATTACGTCTTTGCTACAATTTGTATTACGTCTTGGTTATTAGAGCGCATGCACCAAGTCATATAACGGAAGTATGCCTGGGCATGCGTACTAGAGACCAAACACTGTTGTTACACTGTCCTACTGGTCAATACATTCAGATCAGATTACCTTCACCATTAATACTGGACGGGGAAACATTTGAAGCGTCTTGCATAATCAATTAGTTCTTCTGACCGATCACGTCTACTGTTGGTTTCAGAACACAAATAGCATGTTTAACATCGTTCGCAAAATATATTCCACCAGGAACTATGAAAGTTTGTAAACGTATTTTTGTTTTGTTCACGATTTTTCAGACTTCATCTTCAACAAAACATCCTTTTCCCTTAAGGCATTTTCTTCACAAGCTATCCGTGTCTGTGTTTGTTCATGTCTAAATCATATGTCGCATTAAAATATTTGACTCGAGATCGCCGACAATGAAGGACTGTCGGGACCAACATCCCTTCAACCAAAGTAACGCCAAGGACCTCTACATTCCTCAACTTCCGTCGTTCATTAAAAAAAACATTCCGGGATGTCCACCAAGAGTTTTCAATGACCTACTGTGACCAGGGAATAAAAGACCTCTTCCTTGTTTGTCGTAGCCAGCGTTGTTCTCTTGTTTACTGACACACAATCAAGAATTAAGATTCCCCCACGATTTGGAGACTACACAAAACCACTAGCCTGTTCATTAACCCCGTGTCCTAAGCCGGATGACGCTGTAGGCTACGAGTAACTGTGGCCGATTTTACATGACAAGGGATTGAATAAGAATTCGGGATATTCCGTTGTTTTAGGTCTTACGTATGAAATTCATTCAAAGAATTTCCCCGAATTAACTTTAGGATGAGGTCAGTATTTGCATTCTTCATTTTCTTCTCGTGGTGTTACAGTGGCAGCTTAGACGGATTGTAGTCGATGAAGTCGTTGGCGCACACGTCCAGGCGTGTCCATTCTTACAAATACGTCTTACGTTTTACAACTTTTCGTTATTTTTTAACTGTCTTTCGTGTTTGCTTATTTCTCTAGTTGGGATGTTATTTGGCAGCGGTTTGCTTTGAAATACGCATATACACACGGCATTCCATACCTTCCCCTCTGGAGAAGATCGGATAGAGAAATGAAGTGTGATATCAGTATATGGGTGCCATGCTACATTTCATATACTGGTAGCTATTGTAAATACACGCATATACACACGCCATTCCTTACAATGTACCTTCCCCTCTGAAGAAGATCGGACAGATAAATGAGGTGTAATATCAAGTATATGGGTGTCATGCTAAACTCTTCAAAAAAAGAAACGCACAGGCCAAAAATAAGAGAATGTATTAAACGTATTTAAGTGTACATAAGTCGATTAAGCTTGAACACAGATGAAGGAAATTCGACACTCAGATGAACATATGTGTTGTTGTCAGTCTTAAGTCAGTTCACATGTGTAGACACAAGGGGGCGTTCAGGTCAGTACCTGGTGACACCACCCCTTGCAGCCGTCACTGCTCGACACCGCCTTGGAAGGGATTGCACAAGTCGTCGGATTTTTGCTTGGGGAATTCTTCGCCATTCCTCCTGCAACACGTTGGCAAGTTCTGCAAGTGTCTGTGGACGACGGTGACGTTTACGGACGAGTCCATCAAGTTCGTCCCATAGATGCTCGATCGGGTTCAGATCACGCGATTTGGAATACCAGGGAAGGACATTGACGTTTGCATTGGCGAGATATGCACCTTTTACACGAGCTGTGTGGGGTCGAGAGTTGTCGTGTTGAAACAGCTCCCTCTGGCGGTTACAAAGTGGGAGGAGGTTAGGTCGCAGGATTTGGTCGATGTAGCGATTTGCTGTAAGATTGCCTTGAACCACCAATAGCTCTGATCTACCATGACGCTTCCTCCACCAAATCTGTCACCTGTCGAAATCAGTTCGGAGCAAAATGTTCGTGTCGACGTCGATAGACACGTTGTCTCCCATCCCGTCGTTGCAGGAGGAAATGTGATTCATCGATGAACCAAACATGTCGCCAGTTCCTCAGGTTCCATTCTGTACCCTGTTGCACCATTGGACGCGTCGTAGTCAGTGTAGTCGTGTCAGGACAGGTCCAACTTTTGGTCGATATGGTCGAGTTCACAGTTCACACTTCTTTCAGCCGATTTCTGATGGTTTGGTCGGAAATTCTTCGAAGACCAGGTACCTGTCCTGCAGTGTCCGTTGATGTAGCAAACCGGTGACGTAGGTGAAACACCCGGATGAATGAGGAAGGGCACTGAGCAGGAGTGGTCACTCTTGGTCTTCCACTCGGACAATGAAGTGTAATATCAAGTATATGGGTGTCATGCTATATTTCATATACCGGTAGCTATTGTAAATACACATATACATACTCCATAATACCCTTCCAATCTCCATTCACGTTTTGATGGAATAAAGTATAATGTGAAGTATATGGAGTCCATATGTATTTCGTATACTGGTATCCATTGTAAACACACACGTACCAACTGCATTCTACCATTTCCCCTTCCTGTGTAGTTTGGACTGAAGTGTGGGTCAAGTATTGGGATGTTATGTAACATTTTATAAACTGTTATTCTTAGTGAACACACAGATCTTGCTTTTAAGATATCGTAAGATTACACGCACGTGCGTCTCTGTGTTTGTTTTATGAGAGAAAATATATGCATGCACACACGCGCTCGCACGCACACACACACACTAAGGGTGCGTGTTCAGAATCGAGCTGCACTAATTAAACGACCGAAACTGTTATATTACCACGCTGCCGCTGACAAACTGATATTTCAACCAGCGTTTAGTTGCAATGGTTATTTATTACGTATTTATTATTCTTGAACATGTAATGAAAATATATTTCCTCCCGTCATAATGTCAATACCATCAACCTCGTATTCCGAGACGTTAAACCTAATTTCACCTCACCTCACCTCGTATTCCGAAATTTAGTGAAGGGATATAACGGGATTCAGTGGGACCATATGGGCAAAGAGAAGTAACTGTAATAGAGGATTCTTATTAGAAGAAACGCTAGTAAAATATGTGTTTCGGTGTTCGGCAACGCATTTGTTAACAATGTAGGTAGTGGTGGTGGTGGTGGAATGGGTTTAACGTCGTGCTTGAGAATAATTCGCTCATATGACGACGTGCATGCGTGTGTATGTGTATGTGCGGCTGCTTGTACTAGCCCAGACTGAAGCTGGTTTTATAGTGCTAGCCCACTGAGATATCATGCCGCAGTGAAGCATGAATACCCCACTCAGACACATTATACTGACTCCGAGCCGACTAGTCCTTGTTGTACCCATTAATGCCGAGCGCCAGGCAGGGACCAACAAGGATTGTACAATATCATAGGGTTGTAAACGAATGTTTTAAAGTCGGTGCTCGTCACTGCGGGTTACTGTCTTCGGGCGCACTATTCGCCATATATTCACAACGTGACTACCCTCTCAAATTGTTATTGTGCTATCGCCATGTTCGTATAATTTGTAGGTAGTGGTGTTCCACTCTTTAAGAACAGCATATGCAGTAGCTCTTGTTGACGTTTGCAGGTATGCTGAGTAAATCGAAATTCCAATAACAAATAATAAAACTGCAATATTGTATATACTGCCAGGCAATATAATGTATACAGCAATGGCTGAAGATAGCTGAAGACTTACCACACACGAAATGATTATTCTATGCTGATGTAGTTGACAAGTAACCAGTGCGATGTTACGTGCATCAGATCAATGACTGTCTCAACACAGGCGACGTGTAAATAGTCTCAAGGAACATTAAGATCACAGTTTCACAGTGATGAGCAGTCTGAAGTATACATTTCAAGTGTATATTTTCTTTTGCTCGATGGTTTATAAGTGTTCCAAAAGGAGAGTTTAGTAAAAAACGTCAGTGAACAAAAAATAAATCAGTACAAAAACAAACGAGGTTACATTCCTGATGCCTGATACATGTATTAGTACTACATAACGACAACAGGTAAATGTGTTTAACATAACTACACAATGAATCGGCAGTAGATAGCATCCTAATGTATCATAATGGAACGTATATAGAACGGTTTAATACATGGGACCAAGAAAAAATATCCGATCTTCGAGACATCCGACCAGGGCATATCATCACATATGACTATGAAAGAAAACAAAACGCTTCTCAGTTTGTTTTGAATCGAAACTATAATCCGTTATCAGTAGTGTTTAGTCGTAACAGTGAGTACTTCCTAATTAATTCCATATTAATCAATCCTAATTAAATAACAAACAAGTGAAACCTTCAACTCAATTAGCCCTAATTAGTTTACACTACCGCATCCCTTTGATTCATGCCGCACCGTGTGTAAACAACCTCCGTTCAGATGGATACTTGCCCTTGAAAGGTAGATGCATACCGAGTTTCTTTGCAAATATCGAGTTAAAACGGTAATTTTGCTCGTTGGAACCATGAAATGATATGGAGATATCCGAAATATCGAGACATCCGTATCGAGTTAAAAGAGCTTGAATAATGATAAATTATAAAGGATTTTGCCTGGACCGAGATGTTATACCGAGACAACCGAGATATCGCGTTGTTCGACACAACGGTGCTCGACTGTATAAAGCAACATCAGTATCTGTTTCAGCACCACCCAGGACTCCAGGCGCCATTGAAATATTTGGGATTGGAAGCTGGATCTGGTGCTGGGTCTTGTGCTGGAACACGGCTCTTCTTGTACTCATCCAGCTTCTCTATCATCACTGCAGCTAGTTCTGGATACTTGGCTATTATGTCTACATGCTCTGTTGGATCCTCTGTGATGTTGAACATCATGTATGGCGGGAACTCCGTATCGTCAGCTTCATATACACTCATGTCCATTCCTAACTTTGGCAATGGTGCCCAGTTGTTATACTTGCCAGGACTTCCTTGTATAAGTTTCAGATGACCATGTCGGATAGCTGATGTATTTGTCATATCGTATATGTTGTAGACAAATCCGTCCCGCTTGCTCTTCCCACCGTTAATGAGCATGTCGTACTGACTGACTCCGTCCATGTTCGGATCTGTGTTTTCTCCACCAGCCAGCTCCAACAATGTCGGGTACCAGTCCACAGCATGCATCATTTCCGTGTTGACATAGCCCGTCTTCTTCAAGAGATTCTTACTGTAGATGAAAGCAGCTCCTTTCGTGCCCCCTTCCCACAACGTAGACTTAGCTCCTCGTAGAGGCAGATTGTTGGCTGCGTCAAAGTAAGGTCCACCATTGTCAGATGTGAACACAAGAAGTAAATTATCCATAAACCCTTCTTCTTCAAGACTCTGAACAACCCTTCCAACAGCCTCGTCCAGGGCAGTTACCATACCACAATAAATCCTTCGGTTAATGGTCTCGATGTTCTTGTACATATCCTCAAACCTCTTGGGTACCTCGAGCGGTACATGCACAGACTGGAACGGCAGGTATAAGTATAATGGCTTGGATTTATCGTGAGTCTTGATGATTTCAATGGCACGTTCAGTGTACACATCTGCTGAATACTTCCCCTTGTCCTCTCTGTCCACCTCCTTATTTCTCCGGAAGTCCACACCAGTCATGTTCATTTCGGACCTCGTGTGATTGTAGTAGCCCTCCTTACCTGAATAATAGCCAACGAAAGAATCAAAGCCTCTTTCAGTTGGTGTGTACTTCCAGTTGCAGAATCCCAAATGCCATTTCCCAACGATATGAGTGGCGTAGCCCAAAGCTTTCATTCTCTGCGGTATGAGTGTGAAGTTTATCGGCAAGTACTTGGGTTCCACCACAAACACTACTTGATCCTGTAGTCCAGTGTGATAGGGATAGTATCCCGACATGAAGCAATTTCTGGAGGGTGAACACAGTGGCTGGACGTAAGAAGAGTTGAGGATGACACCAGCTTTGGCCAGTCTGTCCAGGTTAGGTGTGATCATGTCTGGATTGTGCCATCCAACGTCATTCCAGCCGAGGTCGTCAGCGACGATGAATACAACGTGAGGGGGACTACATGTCGCTAATGTAAAAGTCATTAGAAGGAAAATACCAGTGGAAATCATCTCACGTGTCCTCACCCAAAGGGTTTTACTGAGTAACAAAATTGATGTTAAGTAGACGACCTCACACCTCGACCCACAGGTCCGATAAGACTGAATCTACCACGTTGAAGTATATGTCGCAATACATGTCGACACGTCGATGTTATATATTATTCTGACCTGTTTGATAAGGAGAGTCCTTGTTTTAAGTGATTTATAGTTTCATATCAAAGTGATAAGGCCAAAGTGTAACTGGAAATCAGGGTCAGCCCTGTGCGGACATCTGTGCTCATGGGCACACTATTTATATGGTAATAGTAACGTGTTTATGCTGATTCAAACAAAAACAAACTTAAAGTGGCATTTGGTAACAATTTACTAGCAATCTGATAGGAATACACACACAACTAGAATATCAACAGTTAAAATGGTAACTGTAGCATGTTTATTCTGATTCAAACAAAACAAACTTAAAGTGGCATTTGGTAACAATTTACCTGCAAACTGATAGGAATACACACACAACTAGAATATCAACAGTGCCAGAAGGCATGGTCTCCATGTGTACGCCTCTAATCTGATTCTATTACATACACTCAAATGATGATCTGTGTGATTGTATGATCCACCACTGGCGACCGCATCAGTCAGTACCTGGTGTAGCCGCCCTCGCACGGAGAGCATCTACTCGTCGTCTCCTCATACTGGCAATCAAGCGTCAACTTCTCATTATCGGTATATCTGCCATTCCTGATGGAATACCTGTGTCGTACAGATGTTGATTAGAGGATCTCTAGCTAGAATTTGTTGTCCAAGATAGTACCAAAGAGTGAGTGAGTTAAGTTTTACGCCGCTTGTAGCAATATTCCAGCAATATCACGGCGGGGAACACCAGAAATGGGCTTCACGCATTGTACCCATGTGGGGAATCGAACCCGGGTCTTCGGCGTGACGAGCGAACGCTTTAACCACTAGGCTACCCCACCGCCCTTAGTACCAAAGATGTTAGATGGGGTTCATATTGGGTTATGATAATATCGTCACTATTTTCAAACAATTGTTTTTCACATATTGCTGATCAGATATCATCATAAATATTGTGCTTACACTTGACTTCAAAGGGGACAATGGAATACAATAAAGTGATCTATTGTATTCATCATCATACATCGAACTTTGTACGGTGAACCACAATCCCACTTATTCTCAACCCTCAAAATTCGATTTTAAACCATCAAAGGCAGCTTTTTTGTATTAAAATAAACATATACATGATGGCAGAATTGGTTTATTGAAAACAAATGCTCTACATCTAAGAGTGAGTGAGTGAGTTGGGTTTTACGCCGCTTTTAGCAATATTCCAGCAATATCACGGCGGGGGACACCAGAAATGGGCTTCATACAATGTGCCCATGTGGGGAATCGAACCCGGGCCTTCGGCGTGACGAGCGAACGCTTTAACCACAGGGCTACCCCACCGCCCCTAAATCTAAGAGCTTAGACAGCCAAATTATAGTCCGTTTGGCTCAAAAGTGGACCGATGAATTGCAATCTAATGCGAAAACTAATAAACAGAAAATATTCAATGAAACGCTGATCATAATCAAAACATCATACCCACTCTGTGAGGGTTTTGCAGAATTTTTGTCCTAAAAATGAAAAAGTTGTTTAACAATCTATCATTAAAATATTGACACAGTTCACTATTTGTTACGAGGGAGGAGTGCAGAGAAAAGGACAGCCAGGTGTTAGAGAAGCACGTGCACAAGTACCGACAAAGTTATTGATTCATTAACCTGTGCTGTGCCGTCTCCATCCTTTCTCGAACACCTGGCTGTCCTTTTCTCTGCACTCCTTCCTCGTAACAAACAGTGAACTGTGTCAATATTTTAATGATAGATTGTTAAACAACTTTTTCATTTTTAGGACAAAAATTCTGCAAAACCCTCACAGAGTGGGTATGATGTTTTGATTATGATCAGCGTTTCATTGAGTATGTTATGTTTATTAGTTTTCGAGTTAGATTGCAATTCATAGGTCCACTTTTGAGCCAAACGGACTGTAGATATTGATGTTGGCGCTGTTCAGCCATTACACGCTTGTTCAAGCGTATCTTTCAAATGCGGATAAACATTTTGAAATGTAGATGTGTTCCTGCAGTAGTATGCTCGAGCAAGTGTCAATGTTCACAGCACAGCACAGCACAGCACAGCACAGCACAGCACCAGCACAACACAGCACAGCACAGCACAGCACAAGACCCGGTAAAGAATTATCTAGGAGGTTTGCGATGTAAGGGAAGGAACTCTAATACCACAGAGCTCACGAAGCGTTAATAAAATCGTGTATTTGACTACAACACTGAATCAGCGTTCGGTTGTAGAGTTAATATCAGTGCTGTAAATTAAAGTTCAAGACCAGCTCACCACCAGCTCACCACCAGCTCACCCAGTCACTGTTAATACTTCTCATTACACCTCCACTTCCTAGACTATTATGGACAACCATTACGGTAAGTTACAATACAGAAAATCGGGTGCAGTCATTTATGCACTTGTTCCAGGTGTATACTTTTGTTGGTGATCATAAAACAAACAAATAGAACACTCGTCTTGTTTTCCACAGTTGTCACACTGAAACCGATGAAATGACTGATCGCTGCAATGTTTTTAATATTTGTGCATGTTTTCCTTGTGTCATTATGAATCGGAACATTTGCAGGACACATGTGTGTTAATCTGCTATCATATCTATAGACCAAACACGTTTCTAAACTATACTACTGACTGACTGACTCACTGACTGAGTTTGGTTTTACGCCGCTTTTAGCAACATTCCAGCAACACCATGGCGGGGGACACCAGAAATGGGCTTCACACATTGTACCCATGTGGGGATTCGAACCCGGGTCTTCGGCGTAACGGGCAAACGCTTTAACCACTAGGCTACCCCACCGCCCCTATACTACTCGTGAAGCACCGGGTTAGAATTGGTCTTTAGCAACCCATGCTTGTCGTAAAACACAACTAACGGGAACTGGTAGTCAGGCTCGCTGACTTGGTTGACACATGTCATCGTATCCCGATTGTGTAGATCTATGATCATGCTGTTGATCACTGGATTGTCTAGTCCAGACTCGATTATTTACAGACCGCCGCCATATAGAATGTGAAGAAAGCTCTTCAAAATCAAAGTCATTCTGTCAACAGGGATAAAAACAACAACATACGTATTTAGAAAAGTATTTAGACGCAGCGAATGTCAGACTTCGCCAAATTTACCTGGCTGACAATCCAATTTAACAATGAGTTTCAACTAGAATGCAGCAAACACACTCATTCGTTTTCAAACGGGGTGTTGCTCATAAAATCAAAACCAGGTGTCTTTGTTCCAGACACGATTATAACCAAAAGGATATTTTGTAATTTTAACGTGACTGATGTATTTAACGACAAACAACAAAATTTTCAGACACAGAAACTGACGTATTTTACGAGCATTTCTTCGAATTTGAGTTACCTCCCCTTGACCATCAATCCTAATAGAGCATTCCCGTTCAAAATGTGTATCTCGTCTTGTTGCCATGGCCCATTATGTTGTAATGCTGTAAATGACAAACCCATGTCCGTAACAAGCGTATGAAATCAGAAATCTCTGCTAAGAGCGTTTCAACTACATCATAAGTATGTGTTTATGCATTCTGGTATATAACTACTGATGACAATGGGCACAATGTGTGAAGCTCATTTCTGGTGTTCCCTGCCTTGATATTGCACAAAATGCTTGGTTGACACATGTCATCGGTTCCCAATTGCGCAGATCGATGCTCATGCTGTTGATCACTGGAGTGTCTGGTCCAGACTCGGTTATTTACAGACCGCCGCCATATAGCTGGAATATTGCTGAGTGCGGCATAAAACTAAACTCACTCACTTACTGTAACCCTGATCAAACCTATTAAAATCTACGTAGTCCCGAAGACAGGAACTGCAGAAACTGCTGCTCACACAGATAACCACGGCATTCCTGGACACATCTGTCAGGCCATGCCCTAGTTCACTACAGATATAGCTAGTCTAGACACTCGCGTCTGTCGCAATTGCCTGTTACACAACATTCACAGATAACGTAGGTATTCCATCACTTACCATACTGTCCAAGAGTCGGTACATGTATGTGGATTAAAGATCGCCATCGAACGTTTGGCTAATCACTCATTAATGCCCAAAACGAGGCTTAGATTAATATTCAACATTGATTTCAACCATTTAGTTCTTGTTTTGAGACATACGTTTAGTTATAGATTATAGTCTCAGTCATAACAAGCGCAAAAACGGAATGCCACTGTTACTCAATTAGGGCTCGTGGTTCTTGGAGCTCTTCCAGCTCTCTCATACCATAAGGTGAGGTGAAATGGGGTTTAACGTCGTACTTGGGAATATTTCGCTCATATGACGACCTGCATACGTATGTATGTGTGGCTGCTTGTACTAGACCAGACTTAAGCTGGTTTTATAGTGCTAGCCCACTGAGATACCATGCCGCAGTGAAGCATGAATACCCCACTCAGACACATTATACTGACTCCGAGCCGACCAGTCCTTGTTGTACCCATTAATGCCGAACGCCAGGCAGGGACCATATCTTAACGTCTTTTGGTGTGACGCGGCCGGGGATCGAACCCCTCATACCATGAAACATAAAGATGTTCAACAGCATAAACACAAAATGTATCCATTCCCCATGCTTTATCATTTAGAGATATTCCACGTCATGAATATACCATTAATAGCTAATGTGACGACACGTGAATTACCCAAGGAGAACTACTGCTATGAAACATTTTAAATCTTTTGTTCTTTGTAAATCTCTGCAATATTCCATCTGTATGAAAGAGGCCTGGAAATAATTGAAAAATATCGGGGTGACGACCGGAATCAAGTACCCAGGCCACCTGATATATTAAGCCACACCTCACAAACATTTGTTAATGGAAAGTATTTATAACTTGAAATATAAAGATATGAATTAATGTTCAAATGCACCATATTGACAACGAGAATATTCCGAAACCCGTTCCAAGACCTGCAGGGGGCGGTGGGCCGTGACCAAGTGGTTAAAGCGTCCTCTCGTCATGCTGAATACCCGGGTTTGATTCCCCACATGGGTACAATATGTGCAGCCCATTTCTGGTGTCCCCCGCCGTGATATTGCTGGAATATTGCTAAAAGCGGCGTAAAACCAAACTCACTCACACACTCACTCAAACATTTCCAGGCGTAGCCATCGAGTGCAAAACCTTTTTAGGTATTATTATGTAACAGACATTATCTAACATGCGACCTGGTTAAAACATTGACGAACCACGCACATATGTGGAGATAACCAGAGAATGTAACACTGATAGCCACATACCATGTCAGGAATTCGTGTCAAGGTGAACCACACCACCACATGTTTTATCTGCTGTAATATCTGCATTTGGACAAGAATGCGTCATCTGGACGCCGACTCGACTCATCCCATATGGCCTGTTTACTGTTAGTGAGTGACCTTATACATATTTATGCATGTCTTGTCCTGGAAGAAAAAGTTGAGCGTGAGCCTTACATAAAAACAGCTCCTTTCAGGGAAGAATATTGTCTCCTGTCTCTTGCATGAATTAGCCCCAAATCAGTTATACTTTAAATGACTTTAGTATCATTTCATCATTCCATGTCAATGTGATCAAACGATCAGTTTCAGTGTTCTTTCCTCAACGCAAGGAAAGTAGGTTATATCTTGAACTTGAAGACCATATACATGTAGTGTCTTTTTTATAAACTGATGTGCAAAAGAAAGTACACAGATTGCGTTTCTTCCAATAAGATAAAAATAACAAAACCTTTTGATGAAATGGAAAATGTATGTTGAAGCACACTGCAATACACGTGTTTTATCAGCAAAATGACATTGTAACAATAAACAGCGATGTATTGATGACCACTGCAGACGGTTCCTACGATGCTGGAAGGTCAAGGCCATTCCACGCAGCGGTCGGTAGGCCCATACATGCCAGCAGGACGAAGTCGTCTTGTCAATGTGAATCGGCTTACGCGATGACCCAATGATGTGGCTGCTGATGACGTCACCGTCAATATCCAGTTGCGTAGGTGAATAACCCGCAGATAGCGATCCTCTTGGGGTGTTGTGACTCTGGAACGTCCACTTCTGGGTCGATCACATGTCTGGCCTGTCGTACTGAAACGGTTAAACAGCCGAATTATGGTTTGTCTTGTGCACCACAATGTCCTTGCAATATCGCTGTTGAAAGCACCCATAAGTGGCATTCCTTTGGCCCGTTCTCGTTGCGCCGACGTCAATCTTGGCATTTCCTCGTGAGATTTCTGTCAAGTGATTGTTCAGTCTTCACGACAAACAGGTTTTATACTCTCTGTCAGAAAAGTGTTGGTGCATGGGACAATAATCACAATTGTGCAAAAATTCGTGCAAAACACGTACAAATGTTTTTGGTGGCATTTTGGCAAATGAAACATGATGGTTGCGTTCTATACAATCAATGTTTTTCAATAATTGTATTAGTTAGAACGCATATTTGGGATTGCAACAACAATTACACCTGTGTACTTTCTTTTGCTCGTCAGTTTATCTCACTCACTCTCTCACTCATCTGAGTCACTCACTCACTCACTCACCCATCTGAGTCACTCACTTACTCATCTGAGTCAGTCACTCATCTGAAGCAGTCTGTACGAGATGCTCGTCAATGGATTGCAGCAGCTGCAATCAGGTACGGAGATCTCAAGCTCATGCAAGGCAGTCCAGGATCTCAGAATGTTTGGGTTCCTTTGCTACATCTGACAAGTGATGAAGGTGTCTATGAAGCGGATAACTTGTTTTGTGAGCGTGGAAAACATCAACGAAAGATGTAATTATAAAATGCGTTTTGCAATGCTATAATCTGGTATTAAATGGATATTACAAGATATTTTTCTTCAGTCATTTCCAAATGCTGACTACATGTACCTGTCCTAAAATACCTATTCTGTAACTTTACCCTACCCGGTTACTTTTCAAAGTAGTACCACGCAGGTCGACAATGAACGCAACACCAGTTACACCGATATTGTTTTTTCATTCCAAACTAATAGAACGTGGAGATCGTGGTGTATATCGCGACAATGTGACAATCCCATTAGTAAATCACAAAGAAAGAATTCACGACGAATGTTATCTGTTGGAAACCTTTAAATAGAAGCACACTGCACCACACTGAACAGAAACACAATGAGCCTCCTAAGAGCTGTTTTATTCTGGTTTGTTGTGACTTTCTGTGAGGGTGCGGAGAAACCTCACATTGTGTTTATCGTAGCTGATGACCTCGGATGGAACGATGTTGGATTCCGGAACCCTCAAATGATCACCCCTAACCTGGACAGACTGGCCAAAGCGGGAGTCATCCTCAACTCATCTTACGTCCAGCCTCTATGCTCGCCCTCCAGAAGTTGTTTCATGTCGGGGTATTTCCCTTATCACACTGGTCTACAAGATGGCGTTGTAAGGATAAACGCAGCAAAATTCCTTCCTGCTAACTTAACAACAATCCCACAGAAACTGAAACAACTTGGTTATGATGCCCACATGGTTGGGAAGTGGCACCTTGGCTTCTGTAACTGGAAGTATACACCCACAGAGAGAGGCTTTGACTCCTATCTTGGATTTTACTCTGGTGATGAGGAATATTTTACTCACATGACAAATGATGGTAAAGGGGCACTGGATTTTCGCTTCAACAAAACTGCCTATAAAGATGCCAATGGAACCTATTCTGCAAATGTGTTTGGTAACAGGGCTGTTGAAATCATTGAGAACCACGACGATAGTAAGCCACTCTATCTGTACCTTCCATTCCAGGATGTTCACGGGCCTCTTGAGGTTCCACCTAAATATGAAAACATGTACAAGAACATAGAAAACCGAAAAAGAAGGATCTATTGTGGAATGGTGAGTGCTTTAGACGAAGCTGTTGGAAACATCACGAAGGCATTAGAAGAAAAAGGTCTCATGGACAATCTATTGTTGGTCTTTACAACTGATAATGGTGGCCCTACATTTGTTGCTGCCAATAACTTGCCGTTACGGGGAGCCAAAAATACTCTCTGGGAAGGAGGGACGAAAGGCACAGGGTTCATCTACAGTAAATCCCTTCTGAAGAAGACAGGCTACCTCAACACTGGAATGATGCATGCTGTGGACTGGTACCCAACATTAGTGGAGTTGGCTGGTGGAGAAAACACTGATCCCAACATGGACGGAGTCAGTCAGTACGACATGCTCATCAATGGTGGACCCAGCAAGCGAAATGAGTTCGTCTACAACATCTATGACGAGAGAGAAGCAGCTGCAATCAGGTACGGAGATCTCAAGCTCATGCAAGGCAGTCCGGGAGATCACAATGGTTGGGCTCCTTTACCACATTTGGGAATTGATGAAGATGTCTATGAAGCTGATAACCAAACGTTCCCTCCCTTCATGCTCTACAACATCACTGCAGATCCAACCGAACACTTTGACCTCTCTTCCAAGTATCCTGATCTACTGGACATGATGAAGAAGAGGCTGGAGAACTGGAAGAAGTCTCGTGTTCCTGCCCAGAACGATTCCCCTGTTCCTGCATCGAACCCTAAGTACTTCGGTGGTGTATGGAGTCCTGGATGGTGTTGATATCACTTTCAAGCTTACACGTCCTGTTGCACAAATGTACTAAACCTACAGGTGTGTTGAAAACTGAGTGTTCACGGCATAACACTTACTTGATTTTAAATAAAGGGAGTAAATTCCGATGTAAATGTTATATATATGCAGAAACATTTTACTTTTGTGTCAGTCTGAAATATCTGCCAAGTCGGAGTGAGTATCGTAAATTGCATTGCTCTTGCCAATATCCTAGCAGCAATATCATGACAAGACACGCCAGAAATTGGCTTTCCACAGAGTTCCCAATTAAGGAATCAAACCTCCGGCTATAGTGTGAGAGAAAATGCCTAAACGACCAAGCTACCCCCACCGTAATTATCTGCAAAAGAGTGTAAGAGCATAATTAGTCATGGAAATTGTACAAAATGATCTCTGATTACCCGTGATTACGTTCAAAGCGTTAGCATATCCCACTCTTTCGGCAGCACTCAACAGTCACACAATTTCCATTATTAAGTAAGTGCCAAAGAACTCCAAAGTTTGCTAAGTATGCGTGGTTGGTAATTTCATCTGATTGTCTGCCATAAGATATTCTCAAATAACTATACCATTTTTTTTCTGAATCCTTGACTGAAGAGCTTTGTTTCTCACTGAAAGTTGGATGTAAAGTACATGTGCTCATGATTGTCAGAAATATACATTCCATAATCTGGAACTGATGATGTACGGCTTACGGCTGGACAACCAAAATCATCTTCTCCTGTTATGCAGCTTGTTTTAGAAGCTGACATCACTTTGGATTAATATACATGGAATCAGATATTTCAATGAATACAGTTTCTCAGAAGATGCTGTAACGACGCCAAAGATCGTATTTACAGCCTTTTGTTAGTCTTGACAACCCATAGAGGTAGTCCTTCGCATAAAGCTTTCAATAACACCTTTCTCTTATAACGCTAGGAATGATCAAGCCTGTCATGATAATGTATACACCAAGAGGAGAGAAGTCGGATACCACCACTACCATTCTGGAAATCTCCAATCAATATTGCTGACCGCGGTTCAAATCTGGCTTCGACAACACAAAGAATGAGCCATGCTTCAGGCCATCTGGTACAACAACCAGACTCACCAGCGTCGTCCTCGCCTCTTGCAAGCGAAACGATGTAGATTACCCAACTCACGTCCTCATCCTGTAAAATAGAAAAAGATATTGTGTGTGTTTTCCAAATGCAAAATTATAGAAAAATTCGACATCACAGGCTATTTATCCTCAATCAGTTTGTAAAGCAGAATGCATATTCTTAATTCTAGACATGGTCTACAAATCCTTTGTTTAATTTTACTCGACCCTGGTATTTCTGTATAGGGTTGAAATACGTATCACAACACAGGGCCACAAACCCACACAACACCAATTACTACGGAAGCCTATTGGGACCACGCTACGCTATTATTCGGCCTCTTTCATCTTGAAACTTAAGTTGAATATTGAAGATAGGATGCTGAATTTTCAAAATACTAAGTTGAATTTTCAAGAAACAAGATGCTGAATAATAGCGTACCGTGGCACTAATAGACTTCCGTAAATTACACAAATTTTGTTTGTAATTTCGAAATACTATTTTTTCAAGTTTAAAAATAAATCCATAACTAGAAATAGAAAAGAAGAGTAAGAAGAATGAACAGTTTTGTGGCCCGTTCCTTAAAAAGCGATCGTAACCCTAAGGTGATCGTAACTCCCATACTTTAACATAGACTTACAACAGTTGTAGCTCTACGATCGCTTTGTGGAACGGGGCCCTGGTGCATATGTACAAGTAGCAATTTATTGGTGGCTAAAACAGTCAAGAAAGGGTCTGTATGTATTCTTGCATACATATTTGTTGGCTTGTATCGTGTATTGTGTGTCAAATGAACATCCAGAAAAATGACATATGTGAGCAGTGTATTTAGCGGTTTTATGTTGAACCAAAAATGAAATACAATCATGTACGCATGCATGTAGCTTAGCCCCATAACATTTTCGGTGTTCAATCTTGTCAAAACATCTTAGCTTAAAGAATATCAAGTCACAGGTGCTGTGATTTCAGTTATAGTTTGTGGGAAAAATCATCGTGTTTCCAACACCTACATGGCGTCTTTCTTGTATATCTTAACAAAAGGACGATCCAGATGGTTATCACAAAGAAAGAATTATATGCTCTGGGCTTGCCACAATAGACAAGCGTTATCTGTTGGAAATAGAAGAACACTGTACCACACTGAACACAAACACAATGAGCCTCCTAAGAGCTGTATGTATCCTCTTGACTTTCGTGATCTGTGAGTGCGCGGAGTTCGTCTATTGATTCTCAATCAGTTTGTAAAGCAGAATACATATTCTTATTTCTGGGGATGGTGTAAAAATCCTTTGTTTAACACCAATCACTCCAATTTTGTTTTTAATTCCGAAATACTATTTTTTTAAATCCATAACTTGTGAGAGAAAGGAAGAGAAAGTAGAATGAACAATTTTGTGGCCCTGGTTCATATGTACAAGTATCAATTTTCTTGGTGGCTAAATCAATAATATCAGGTGGGCATGGTGGGCGAGCTGTCTAAGGCGCCATGCTAGTGATCGAGCGAGATTGAGGTATCGGGATCGAGCCCACCTGTGACCGGGTGTAAAAACATTGGAGTCAACTTTATGCGCACACTCTTTCAGTGTTGTCAACAATTCCGTGTGTACAGTACACAACCCAGTGCACCTAAAAGAACCGACGAATCCGTTGGTGAGTGAGTGAGTGAGTTATAATTTATCGTCACATCGGCAATATTTCAGCCATATCGTGACGAGAACATTTTATTGTTATACATAGTAATTTATGGTAAATTATAAAACTCTGTCATCGAAGGACAGTAAAACCGACTAGAATATCACAATATCAAGAAATAAAACTAGCATATATGTCTAAAATAGGATTTCAGATTAGGACAATACAAATATAAAAAAGGCTGAGGATCGCCAACAACCGATGGTAGACCACCACTCTAGGGACCATGGGGACTTACAGTACTTTGGCTACCTGCATGGACCCTAGCTGGATTTATACCATCCCTTCAGCCATTGGCGATTGTACTGATAGTTAGCCATAATAAAACAACAAATATTCTACGATTAAAAAAGTGTGTAGATCTGAATAGACTTTGAAAGTTTTGGGACTTACGTACCCTCCCAGTAGGACAATAATTTTACAGTACTTTAACCCCCTGTGAGGGTACAGCCACTAACAATCTAAGTTACTAATCTAAACTACCAATCATTAAAATACATCTATCTACAGAACATATTAATCAGAATTCATCAATGAAATCAATTTCTTTTAAAAAAACAACAATTAAATGAGTACTAACACTGGTAAAAGATCCTTAAGTGTTTTTACATTGAAATATTTATCCCTTATGATGGAGAATTCAACACAGTCAAGCAGGATATGCTTGACCGTGACTCCGTGACTCTCTCATCACAAGGGATACAAAACGGAGGATCTTCACCTTTTAACAAGTATTTGTGAGTATATCTAATATGGCCAATACGACATCGTCGCATGATGACCTCTTCAAATCTGGACTGACAACCCAAGTAGGTGTAACCGATAGTTGGTTTTATTTCATGTAATTTATTGATACCCACTTGGGTGTCCCACTTCTTCTGCATCAGATCACGGATGTAAGTTCTAATGGTAGCTTTGTAATCAGAGTAAGGAATGAGAAGTGGTGCCACAGATTTGTTGATCAGCCATTGTGTTCCCAGAAATACCAACGTGACTGGGTAACCAACAGAAGACGATGTCGTATTGGCCAGTAGCAACTTTTTGCTGTACAGATCCTCATAGAGGGGATGAAAGACACAGTTATATGCAGAGTTCGACTGATTAGAATATAGTTTAGTAATATACTGCAAAGATAATGTGATACGGGGTTGGTTTAGAGAAGGCTCGTCAGCTTCAACGTAAATACTATCAATAGGAGAAGTTCGGAAAGATCCAAGACAAAGTCTGAGACCTTGGCGATGAACAGAATCAAGTAGTTTCAAATTGCTTTTACAGGCTCCACCACATACGATTGAGCCATAATCAACTTTTGACCGGATGAGTGATCTGTACAAATGAAGGAGGGTAGTTGATCCCCTCCCCACTTAGAATTGGACACGACTTTTAATAGATCTAATGCCTTCAGGCATTTAGTCTTCAAATACTTAATATGTGGTAAAAAGGTCAAATGTTTGTCGAAAATCAGTCCCAGAAACTTGACTTCCTTTACAACGTTAATTGGAGAGCCATCCAAGTACAGTTCGGGATATTTATGAGGCTTATATTTCCGACAGAAATGTATACATTTGGTCTTTATCTGTGATAATTTAAAGCCATTCTCAAGTGACCATTTATGAATTTTATTTAAACACATCTGTAATTGTCTCTCGATGGTATGCATATTTTCACCACGACATGAAACGTTAAAATCATCCACAAACAATGACCCATCTATTGAGTCATTTAATACTTTTGAGAGACTATTGATTTTTATGCTAAACAAAGTAACAGACAAAATACTGCCTTGTGGAACCCCCTGATCCTGATTATAATGGTCAGACAGGGTTGATCCAACACGAACTTGAAATTGCCTGTCTGATAAAGACTGTGATATAAAATGAGGCAAACCAAATTTCTTAAAATACCATGTTTCCAAAATCTCTTAAAATACCATGTTTCCATGTTGTATCATAAGCTTTTTCTACATCGAAAAAGATTGAAACGGCATGCTGGTTATTTACAATGGAATTTTTAACGAATGATTTTAGTCGAACCAACTGGTCAATAGTGCTTCTATTTTTGCGAAAACCACATTAGATGTTAGTAATAAGATTATTGGATTCTAGAAACCATACTAATCTATTATTGACCATGCGTTCCATGGTCTTGCAAACGCAGCTAGTTAGTGAAATAGGTCTGTAGTTTGATGGATCTGTATGATCCCGGCCAGGCTTAAGTATTGGTACAACAATGGCATGACACCACGAAGGCGGAAAGTGCCCTGTTGTCCAAATGTTCAGAAGTGTTTCAAGACATGCATTGGGTAAATGTTTCAGGAGCTGATAGTGGATATTATCAGCACCTGTTGCCGTATCATGAGCTTGCGCTAAGGCAGTATTCAGCTCATGTAGTGAAAATACTTCATTATAATCTTCACCATTATCAGAGTGAAAGTTAATTTTAAGTTTTTCGTGATGATCTTTATATTTCTGAAACTTTGGATTATAGTTTGATGAAGAAGAATGTGTAGCTAAAGTTTCACCCAACTTGTTTGCAATTTCAATTTTATCAGTTAAAAGATCATGTCCATCTTTGAGATGATGAACACTAGAATTTCTACCTTTGCCCTTGATTCTCTGTATCATGTTCCACACCTTCGTCATTGGCGTACGGGAATAAATCTTTGATACAAAGTTCTTCCAAGACTGTCGTTTACTTTGTTTAAAAGGACGTCGAGCCTATGGCATTGTTTATTTTAAAATTATTTAAATTGTGTACTGCAGGGTGACGGCAAAAGTATTTCTCTGCCTTCTTCCTACACTTCCTAGCTTGTTTACAATCGTCAGTAAACCATGGTTTACGAACATGTGGTTTAGCAGAAGCCTTAGGAATAGTTTCATCGGCAATATTATTCAGTTTAGCAGAGAACAACTCAATCGGATCTGAAACATTGACAAAAAGGTCAGATTTCAAGTTGTCAGCACACAGTGTCTGAAATAATGGCCAGTTAGCCTTATTAAAATTCCACCTTGTAGTAGATGGGTCATCACTCGGGTTTATAGCGGAAAGTATTGTAGGAAAATGGTCACTTCCACACAGGTCATCGTGGACTGACCACTTAAATTCGTTGTAAATATTTGGGTCTGTGAGCGACAGATCGAGTGCAGAATAAGTTCCCGAACCAGGGTGTAAATATGTGACAGATCCATCATTAAAGATGCATAAATTATTGTTTGAAATGAAGTCCTCAATGATTTTTCATTTATTGTTGGTATCGGCACTACCCCACACAGGGTTATGGCCGTTTAGATCTGTCATGATTATACATGGTTGAGGAAGTTGGTCAAAGAGATCCTGAAGATCGGACTGCTGAAGCGCTGAAGAAGGAGAAATATACAAAGAACAAAGCGTAAAGGTTATCTGTAAAGAAAGACGGACAGCAATAGCCTGAAGATTGCTTTTAAGAGGAACCGGGCTATGGATAACACCCTGCCTCACGAGAATAGAGCTGCCGCCAGTTGCTTTATCACCTGGAGGGGAGAATGAATGGAAGTAATTGTACCGACGCAATTCAAATTTATCTGTACTTTTAAAGTAGGTCTCTTATAAACTAAAAACCGATGGATTAAAATCTTGTGATAATAATTGTAGATCATTAAAATTATCCCTAAGGCCTCTGCAATTCCATTGTATTAAATTAATAGAGTTGTTCATGGCGCTTCAGCCGGGGATCTTGACCGCGAGGAACGTCTACTCCCTCGCCCTGGCTGTGAGGGAGTGACCTCTATATCAAGAGGTCCAAACGGATTGTGAACCGTCACGGATGATGTCGAGGTAGATGGTACCTCTAAATGCTGGAGCATTTGCTCTTGGCAGCTTTTTCTTTTCTTTATTTGACAACTGGCTAACTTTTGATTGTGTCCTGGTTTTGTTCAGACAGAACAAAGCAAAGTCTCTGGTTCTTGTTCTGTCTGGACGAGGCAGATGTTGACGAACTTTGCTCATTTTTTGGAAAGAGTGGGTGTATTCATTGATTGTTACTTGTTTGGTTTTTACCCAAGATATGGGTGTCTGGCATGAAGTTGAAACTTTGGTTTGATGAAACTTTGATGAACAGGGGTAGAAACAGTGGCTGAATATGTTCGAGTTGTAGTAGTTTTAGACTGTCCAGGTATTAACTTTTTGGCTTCTTGGTAGGAGAGGGTTGTTAGTTCATTTTAAGAATCTTTGACATGATTTCAACGATGCCACGATGCCATGACCGCTACAGTTAGCACATCTGATGTCTTTTGTACATTCAGTGTTATTATGAGCCCCCACTGCAACGGGAGCATACTGTTTTACGAGTGCATTACTTGGCACCGTGTCCAAATTTTTGGCATTGCAGCGGATTAGGTATGTAGACATCAACTGGGACATTAAAGTAACCAGCTTTAATAGCTTTTAGTAGAGCCGACAGCCCAAAGGTGAACAGGTAAGTATTTGTTTTAATTATATCTGCCTCCTGTTTTCTGGTAAACCGCTTAACAGCAGTTACTCCTTGGTGTTTCAATTCATCAACGATTTCTTCTTCTGTCATGTACGCCAGACAACGAGATCGGTCACGGATGATACCGCTGCAAGAGTTCAATGTCCCGTGCACAGAGAAAACATCCTGTGCATTAACAAACTGTTGTAATCCCAACAAGTTTACAGATTGTTGCCTCCCGGCACATTCAAAAAGAAGTGAGACAGAACGAAGACGTGTGACGTTTGCTACCTCTCCACAGACACCTTTGATGCCCATCGATATAGCAAACGGATTCAATGTTAATGGACTTCCATCTGCTGTTTCAGTAACCAAGAATCTCAGCCATGAATCCACTAACGCTGAAGAGACTTCATCATCAGATGATGTTGAAAGATGTTGACGTTTATTCGTTTTTGAACCAGGGGGGAATGCTGTGAGCCATGGTAATATAATGATTTTTAGCAACCCTCATCTCCACCTGCCATCGAGTGTCAGCAAAGACGATCCTGCAGTGGAAACCAAACTGCCAGATCAGAGCTGCAGGGATGCTACACTCCAGAAATACAGACATAAATACAGAGACGGATGATACGATGTGCCGTTGAGACTGACATCCAATAAGCGAGGGGGAAAAAGACCAGCGCCTTGAGCATGTACTAGTTGCTTGGATATGTGCGCTATATAAATATCCTATAATATTAAATAATATATAAAAAGACCTCACAGGTGCTGTTATAGGTTTTGTGAAAAAGCCGTGTTTCCAACACCTACATGGCGTCTTTATTGTAGATCTTAACAAAAGGACGACCCAGCTGGTAATCACAAAGAAAGAATGCATGCTCTAAACTTGCCACGACGCACGTTATCTGTTGGAAACCTTTAAAGGTCACATGCAACCAAAAAATCAAACATAATTAAAACACAATTATCACTTCTTCATGACATATAATATGCATTGCTGATTATGAAAAAACAAATAAACAAAATTATAAGCGTATAATCGCAAATCAAAAGTGCAATATTTTGTACTTGGGTTTACCTCCCTCGAAACGAAGCAGCCGGGATACCGAACCCAGTCAGAGCGGGTGGGTGTGCACTCAAGTGTAACGGCTGGTTCATTAGCAGATGCCGCCTTCACGGGTCAATGTGTGTGTATATATAGAAAGTGCGGTTTTGTAAATACATGCTCATTTTTTTGTGTATAACATTTTGCAATCAACAGACATCATAACATGTCATGTGTTCAAGTATCACACCTGCCTGTCTGTGTAATTACATAATGTGACAGAGACCGAACTCGGGCCATAAATCAATGCGTTTTGTTTATGGTGTATAGCCTGATTGGTGTTAAGTTCAAATTGCATGTGGTCAGTGATCGCAGTTGTGTATTGAATATTGTCATTAGCAGACAGGCAGGCAGACACACTGGTGTCAATAAAACAAGACATTGAGTTTTGTCTGTGACAGCGACATATCTATATCACAGTTAGAAATTGTGTCAACGCTAAATAATGACATTGCTTTTAAGTATCGAACTGAGAAAGTGACTCGGTAAGAAGAACGTGTGGTGAAATAGACGAATGAAATTATATAAACAGTTTATTTACTGTCATAACATACAAAAAGCTCGCGCCTGTGAGATATCAACAAAACATTATGAAACTAGCTCACACCAAAGCCTTCACCGAGTATTCACCAGACAGCCCGCTTCCAAGTTGCGCGAACCTATTTCACTGCGCACGTGCTATGAGCGCAGCCAGCTGTTGAAACCCGTATTCCCCAGAAAAGTCTGGGGAAAATTAGTGAAACGTTTGAACTCCGATTTCGCGCGGTTTTTTTCGTCGCGTTATTTTTCAACTTTATAAGTTGAATTTGCATTTTTGACGCTTTTTTTCGGTAAGTCCCTACCGAAAGGTAACATAATCTGCAAAGTTGTGTTTTACGTTGCATGTGACCTTTAAATAGAAGCACACTGTACCACACTGAACAGAAACACAATGAGCCTCCTGTCAGCTGTATGTATTCTCTTGGCTTTTGGGATCTGTGAGTGTGCAGAGAAACCTCACATTGTTTTTATAGTTGCTGATGACCTTGGCTGGAACGATGTCGGATTTCGGAACCCTCAAATGATCACCCCTAACCTGGACAGACTGGCTAAAGCTGGTGTCATCCTCAACTCATCCTACGTCCAGCCTCTATGTTCGCCCTCCAGAAATTGTTTCATGTCGGGATATTTCCCGTATCACACAGGACTCCAAGATGGCGTTGTTGGGATAAACGCAGCAAAACATCTACCGGCCAAGCTAACAATAATACCACAGAAACTGAAACAACTTGGTTATGATGCCCACATTGTTGGAAAATGGCATCTTGGCTTCTGTAACTGGAAGTATACACCCACAGAGAGAAGCTTTGACTCCTATCTTGGATATTACTCTGGAATGGAGGACTATCTAACCCATATTATACAGGACCATGAAGGTAACGTGGGACTGGATTTTCGCTTCAACAAAACTGCCTATAGAGACGCCAACGGAACCTATTCTACACATATATTTGCCAACAAGGCTGTTGAAATCATTGAGAACCACGACACCAGTAAGCCACTCTATCTGTACCTTCCATTCCAGGCTGTACATTCACCTCTTGAAGTTCCACCTAAATATGAAAATATGTACAAGAACATAGCAACTATGAATAGAAGGATTTATTGTGGAATGGTGAGTGCTTTAGACGAAGCTGTTGGCAATATCACTAAGGCATTAGAAGACAAAGGTCTCATGGACAATCTCCTGTTGGTCTTTACAACTGATAATGGTGGCCCTACATTTGTTGCTGCCAATAACCTGCCTTTACGAGGAGCCAAGGCTACACTATGGGAAGGGGGAACGAAAGGAACTGGATTCAGCTACAGTAAATCCCTCCTGAAGAAGACGGGCTACCTCAACACTGGAATGATGCATGCTGTGGACTGGTACCCGACATTGGTGGAGTTGGCTGGTGGAGAGAACACAGATCCCAACATGGACGGAGTCAGTCAGTACGACATGCTCATCAATGGTGGACCCAGCAAGCGGAATGAGTTCGTCTACAACATCTATGACGAGATTGATGCAGCTGCAATCAGGTACGGCGATCTCAAACTCATGCAAGGCAGTCCGGGAGATCACAATGGTTGGGCTCCTTTGCCACATCTGGGAATTGATGAAGGTGTCTATGAAGCTGATAACCAAACATTCCCTCCTTTCATGCTCTACAACATTACTGCAGATCCAACCGAACACTTCGACCTCTCTTCCAAGTATCCAGATCTACTGGACATGATGAAGAAGAGGCTGGAGAACTGGAAGAAGTCTCGTGTTCCGGCCCAAGACCCTACTCCGGTTCCTGCATCGAACCCGAAGTACTTTGGTGGTGTATGGAGTCCTGGATGGTGTTGATGTCTCTTTTCAAACAAATACTTCCCGTTTCACAAGAACGAAATCTGTGTTATTCAGTGTTGACGGTTATTCGGTTGGAAATACTTAATTTTATCTGTAATATAGTGTATGAATAAAGGAACACTGCAGATGGGGATATAAATACCAGCATAGTCCTAAATATCAGCCGAGTGTGAGTAAAATTGTAGTCACCAATTGTGCTCCCCTCCTTGCGGATCTGTTTCTTTATGCATATGAAAAAGAATTTCTGCTTGGTTTGGCAAAATCAAAGCAAGGTAATTTGGCCAAGAAGTTTAATATAAGCTTCAGGTGTATCGATGATTTGATATCGTCCAGTAACCATCCAATAGACAATTCCCTTTCACTGATTTACCCACCCGAAGGACACAAGTGAGACCGCCCCAACTGTTTTTATTAGATCTATGCATAAAGAGTGACAAAATCACTCCACAAGGCTGTTTGACAAAAGGGATTTCAACTTTCCAATAGTCAACTTTCCTTACATGTCGAGCAATATTTCATCAGCTCCAACCTTTGGTGTTTACATTTCACAACTTTTGAGATACAATCGAGCATGCTCTTTGTACCAAGATTTCAATGAGCGTCATGCCACTTATGCTCATATGTTTTTTTGTCAAGGTTACAACATTCAATGCCTCAGTAAAGCTTTTAAAAAGTGTATTGGTAGACATGTTTAGGATTTCGAAACTGGATGCATCATAAACACAAACAAACACAAAGTGCAAGATATCATAAAACCTCTTTTGGATCAACTCATCTGAAAAAATATCTCACTGAAACAGTTTCACATGACCAATAGTTCAGCGGGGTTTTTTTTGTTTTTCATTTTGGTGCTTTTGAAATTTTTGGTACTTTAAAAGAGGCGAAATGCAAGATACAAGACGATCCGACGATACGAATTTTGCCCAACTAAATTTGGAGAACATGTTTTAAGTTGTTATTAGACGGTGTTGTATTTGATACGGGTGTCCCAACCCTCCACAAATGCGCCAAAAGTATTTGACCTGTTTACAGTCTACACCTTCAAAGTATAGAAGCTGTCTACCAAATTCGGAGATTATGTTGAGATTTTAAGCTTAGTTGTGCCATGGTGCACCTCACATGAAAGCTATGTCAGGTACTTTGATATCGTGGGAACTGTATCATCGCGGCACATGAAAACATCGGGAAAGCAGAAACACCACGCCCCGCATCGGCGGTTTACATATGCGAATTCATTGCTCTAGTAAAAGTGATTTATTTCAGTAAAATGCCACGTCCAATCGTAGGTATAGTAAGGTATTCATCTTTGTAGTACGTTTTGACGCCTACTGCCGTTGCATCTTGCACGAATCCAAACTTACTTGGTCCAGAGTAACTCTGCAATAACTATAGAGTCATCTGCATTACTATTAAGATTCGTTAATGTTGGACAGTGCCAGATGCTTGTACCGCGTGTGATAGTACTATATGCCACATTATTTACCACAGAAATGAAGTCATCTGGACATATATAAGTCAATACCAAATGTCAGTTGGCGTTGGTAATCCCGATAGATACAACATTAACAACCGCGATAAAAGAGTGAGTGTGTGTGTATTGATTTACGTCGCTTTTAGCAATATTCCAGTAACATCACGACAGGGGACACCAGAAAAGGGCTTCACACATTGTACTTCCCATGTGGGGAATCGAATCCGGGTCTACGGCGTGACGAGCGAATGCTTTAACCACTAGACTACCCTACCACCCCGCAATAAAAGAGTTTCAACGCATTTGACTACAATATGTGGAAAGGTCGGTTACATATCTTTTGATTTTCATCACATAAATTAGTAATTGACAGAAGCTGACTTTCTTTAGATGTTAGTAGTGAAGCCTTATTGTGTGATTGTCAACCGTTTCGCTCAGAATTAGTTGTCTTCTTCAGTTGGTTTCGTTCTTTTGTCAGCATTATCATTAGTCTCTCCTACATACCTAAAATATCCAAAACAGCCCATGCAACTCTATAATACTTGGCAAGTCTAGATTACTGAAAAAGTCTCGTGGCTCATTGGAATTTATTTTAAGTCTTTTTTCGTAAAATATGTTCATTTCAGAAGCACAATGTTACTCTAGTCTTACCATAGACACCGTACTTTTAACATGTCATGTCATATGGTTACTCTCTTCTCTCTCTCTCTCTCTCTCTCTCTCTCTCTCTCTCTCTCTCTCTCTCTCTCTCTCTCTCTCTCTCTCTCTCTCTCTCTCTCTCTCTCTCTCTCTCTACCTCTCTCTCTCTCTCTCTCTCTCTCTCTCTCTCTTTCTGTGTTTGTGTGTGTCTGTGCGCGCGCGCAAAAACAAAAAAGTCATCATGGTTTTTTTATTGAGAATATTATCAACAACAAGAGCAGAGGAGTGCGCCAAAAAGGAGGGGCGCGGAAATGACTCGCTTAACAATGCCAATACCAGACGTGACCACCATTTGCCTTGATAAAAGCGACAGAGGGCATTACATGGTTGTACACAGCTTGAGGGATGATCTTCAAATTCCAACCAAAGATAGGCCAACCTTAGCTAGCTTTACCGACTGGTTCTGGTCCAGACGTTGTCGTCATCCCAGGCATGTTCAATGGAACGAACGTCACCGGACGGCCATGGTAGTATAACAAGTAATACTGCCTCCATAAGTCTGTTACAACATGTGTAACGGCTGGATGGGTATAATCCTGCATTAATGTAACGGTACGTCCCTGCATTTACACAAAGTGTACAACATGATCATGGCACCGTACGCCATTCAAATTGGCATTAACAAAGAAACATTTTACCTAACATCTGAAGACCTTGAGGAAACCTTGCATCGATAAAACATTCTCCTGAGACGCATGAAGACCCTTTCACGACCATGAGAACTGTCAAGATGAAACCTGGACTGATGTGTGAACAGTCTACTGTTCTAGTCTTGCCTTCTGAACTTCCGCTCGCGTCTTCATGAAACTAGGTGTTTCTGCCGGTGATGTGAAAACAAGAACTGGATGTCGGGACCGGATATTTTTCATTTTATCCCAGCTGACAGGACGGTTATAAGGCAAAGCAATACCGAGATACAACCAGCCCCAACTATGCTTCTAGATTTGTCAGCATCATACCCGAGACAAAGGTGCATATTCTTGTTCATTTGATTCGCCTCAAATTATGTTTCTGGGTTTACGAACATCATACCCGTACACGTATTCGTGGGTTTCGCCAAAAAACTTCAAAGATATTCAGAACTTTGGGGTTTCCTTCCAGATTAACCTGAGACTCCATGATATAAATGGAATGCTGTTCAAGCTGCGTTAAATCCAACTCACTCACTCACTCACTCACTCACTCATTCATTCACTCCAAATCACCAAACCACCCACCCACTTTGTGTTGTGCACTGAAAACATTTTGTAACTGTGTTCGCCAAACTTTAGGAAGCTTGTATGTTAAAGTTATCTTTAAAATATTAAAATGTAAAACATTTATCTTTGCAACATCTGCATAGAGTGTAAGGTGTATGTCTTGACAAGTGAAATATCCAGCTGGTAATCTGAAAGAATGCGTCCTTCAGGCTTGTCGTGACATGCATTATCTATAGAAAACATTTAAATAGAATCACAATGTATGATACTGAGCAGAAGCAAAATGAGTGTCCAAAGAGCTGTTTTGTTCTGGATTGTTGGAACTTTTGTTATCTGTGAGTGTGTGGAGAAACCTCATATTGTGTTTATCGTAGCTGATGACCTCGGATGGAACGATGTCGGATTCCGGAACCCTCAAATGATCACCCCTAACCTGGACAGACTGGCCAAAGCTGGTGTCATCCTCAACTCATCTTACGTCCAGCCTCTATGCTCGCCCTCCAGAAGTTGTTTCATGTCCGGGTATTTTCCGTATCACACTGGTCTACAAGATAGCGTTGTTAAGATAAACGCAGCAAAATTCCTTCCGGCTAACTTAACAACAATCCCGCAGAAACTGAAACAACTTGGTTATGATGCCCACATGGTTGGGAAGTGGCACCTTGGCTTCTGTAACTGGAAGTATACACCCACAGACAGAGGCTTTGACTCCTACCTTGGATATTACGCTGGAACGGAGAATTATTTTACTCACATTAGAAAGGATGACGAAGGTAACGTGGGACTGGATTTTCGCCTCAACAAAACTGCCTATAGAGACGCCAACGGAACCTATTCTACACATATATTTGCAAACAAGGCCGTTGAAATCATTGAGAACCACGACAATAGTAAGCCACTTTATCTATACCTTCCTTTCCAGGCGGTACATGAACCTCTTCAAGTTCCACCTAAATATGAAAACATGTACAAGAACATAGAAACCATAAATAGAAGGATATATTGTGGAATGGTAACTGCGTTAGACGAAGCTGTAGGAAATATCACTAAGGCATTAGAAGACAAAGGTCTCATGGACAATCTACTGTTGATCTTTACAACTGATAATGGTGGTCCCACATTTATTGCTGCCAATAACCTGCCTTTACGGGGAGCCAAACATACTCTCTGGGAAGGGGGAACGAAAGGAACTGGATTCATCTACAGTAAAACCCTTCTGAAGAAAACGGGCTACCTCAACACTGGAATGATGCATGCTGTGGACTGGTACCCTACTTTGGTGGAGCTGGCCGGTGGTGAAAACACAGATCCCAACATGGACGGAGTCAGTCAGTACGATATGCTGATCAATGGTGGACCCAGCAAGCGGAATGAGTTCGTCTACAACATCTATGACGAGATTGATGCAGCTGCAATCAGGTACGGAGATCTCAAGCTCATGCAAGGGAGTCCAGGAATTCACAATGGTTGGGCTCCTTTGCCACATCTGGGAATTGATGAAGGTGTCTATGAAGCTGATAACCAAGTGTTCCCTCCCTTCATGCTCTACAACATTACTGCAGATCCAACCGAACACTTCGACCTCTCAGCCAAGTATCCTGATCTTCTGGACATGATGAAGAAGAGGCTGGTGAACTGGAAGAAGTCTCGTGTTCCTGCCCAGAACAATTCTCCTGTTCCTGCATCCTACCCCAAGAACTTCGGTGGCGTATGGAGTCCTGGGTGGTGTTGATTTCTATATCAAGCAGACACTTCCTGTTGCACAAGTATTCTAAGGCTGTGAATGAAAGAATAGTGATGGAAACTGAGAGTTCGCTACATAACATTTACTTGATTTAAACGAGAATACTAACGCCAAATTGTTTTTTCATAGGGGTTAAGCATTCTAAAAGTCACCTTTCTTGATTTAAATTGAAGAAATCGCAATAAACACGCACTCGTCTTTCCGCCTTTCACAAAAACACCCGACAGTTAATGAGCAGAAGCTGCTATCACGTGACATGGCGTCAGATGTAGCTATTGCCGATGACTTCCACTATGATCTTATCGGACATCTTGACAGTGACCATAGATTCTGAAGCAGTTAAAAATGTTCAAGATGTCATTTTTGACATGGATGCTTGACCGTATCAGTATAAGCCGATTTTAAATCTTGAAAGGGAACTTACACTGACGATAAAGGAGAATGAAGCAAGGCACTTTCAACTTGTCTGTTACACGTCCTCAATACAAACTGTTTTGAACCGCAATGTAAACATGAACATATCTATTCCGAAAATGGCATAACGGTATCTTAATAATGTAGTATGCATCATCCTCGATAATCTCCAGGGTATATGTTACGATAAATCTTCACTATAAGCTGATGCCTCTACGTCTCGGCACGATGATGTTATTACCTCCCTTGGCTGGTTTTTATCCAATCAGGTGTCTACGCTTGGAAGTTGAGCGTACCAATCACAACTCACTTTCGCTTCTTTTATCTAACAGATCAAACTTGGCAACACAATTGTTGCAGAGGTACTCTGAAAGAGGTAGAAGGAGTTCTTGCATATATTTTTTAAGGTTTCAGACCTGTCAATTTGTATGTATGATTTCCCCATAAATCTAAGTCGCACTGGGAACAAACTTTCGCGGCTGCAACCGCTATCTTTGGTGACACTGGCAAGCTCGGTTGTAACGGCGGCTTATCCAATTGGCTACAGTGAGAATGCGGAGCCAGCAAAGGAAGCCATAGATGCATCCAGGGTACTAGTGGAGATTTATCGTAACGTATACCCTGGAGGTTATCGAGGAAAAGTATGTATCTGAAGTACTGTTTCATTGAACTTCTGTATCAGTAAAATTGGCTGAAATTCAATGGAATACATACATGATATTGCTGATCGGATAGGAGGCTCAGCATCACTTTTTAACGACGTGCTGAACGTGCGACTCGAGTTGACACTTAGTTTATATCCGCGCACAGTAATACCAGGCATATCATTCCTTGTTAGTCGTATTCTTCTTATTAATTAAGGGGCAGTGGGGTAGCCTAGTGGTTAAGGCGTTCGCTCGTCACGTCTAAGACGCGGGTTCGATTCTTCAGATGGGTACAATGTGTGAAGCCCATTTCTGGTGTTCCCCGACGTGAAATTGCTGGAATATTGCTAAAAGCGGCGTAAAACTAAACTCACTCACTCACTCACTCTTATTGATTAAAGCCGTTAGTATTTATACATCCAAACATCATACATAATAATAGTCCATTTTTCATGCGCATTGCTCCATGCACAATGCATGCTCGAAGCGCACAAACAATCTGATTATTATTACCCCGTCTGTTATCGAGAAAAAAATGTGAAAATACACAAATGACTGATCAATACAAACGACAGCTATCACAGCCGAGTGGGTTGGATCCTACTAGCATGTATTGGGACGTTTGGCTGGGCTGATTACGTAATGATCTTGTTACTTTTGTTGTTGTTATTGTTCATAAAGATTAGGGGTTTTTTTTGTCGGATAGGTACACATTAAGGACGCTTTTTGCAACTTGTAAAGCCCCCTCGTAGCGAAACGGGGAATCCTGTGACGTCATTAGGAAGCCTATTGACACCTGTGAATCCAAACCTTTCTCTGGCATAAATCTGTCGTTTCACTTGGAAAACGGAAGAAATGGTGGCACTTTCCACTGTTCGATGATGCCGTGCATCCCCAGGCAACGCAATACACCATCTTACCATTTTTAAAAAACGACAGAAAAAAGCGGTTGACATTACTGTGTAGCTTGGTGTTTGTCAATATGGCCGACTTTAGTCTCATATGACGTCACGAGTTAAAAGTCAACGTGGTAGAGAGCAGAATATGCATCATGGCCGAAGCTGAGATAACAGAAACAGTTTTCGCGATTAAAATATAGACAAAAATACTTATTTAATTTTAGTTGAGATGTAGTGTATGAATACAAGAACATTACAAATGTAGATATAGATGCTAGCATAGTCCTAGACTAACGCTTAGTCTCTGAATATATAATTTTGATAATAACAAACAAGCCCATTTAAATTGAAAAGGAGCCCCAGGGAGACCAGAGATTCAGAACCTGAGGAAATCTAGACTTGCTTTATTTAGGACTTTAGCACTGCAGAAAGGAAGTATTCAGGGACTGTGAGACAGACTAGCATAGTCCCAAATATCTGCCGAATGTGGTTTACGCCTTTTTAGTAATATCCCAACGCCAGTTTTGTGTTTTAATACTCAGCAGTATTCCATCCATATGGTGGCGGTCTGTAAATAATCGAGTCTGGACCTGAAATCCTCCACACATTAACCATATAATGTTCATGAATGCTGTATTGAAAGATGTGAGCGCATTAGTGCAGTGGTAAGGCGTCTGTCCGGATTCGATCCCCGGTGGAGGCACCTAGGTTCGGGTCCCAAGGTAGGCACATTTGTGTAGTATCCTCGGACAAGATACTTAGATCCACATTGTCTCAGTTCACCCAGCTGTGAAATGGGTACTCGTGAGGATGTGCGGGCAATGTGAGTGATAAGTTCATTGAGCCTAACAGGCAGGATGGCTGTATGCTCCCCGTGGAGTTGAAAAAGTATCGGATAATACGATGGTGTCCTATGACCGGGGATAGTAATGTACGTAGCGCCGTGAGCAGGTAATGTGCCTGGATAGGTTTAATCCCATAAGAACTACATCCCATTTGAACTACATCCCAAAATAACTACAGGGATTAATTAGGGATTAATTATCTGGGTAGAGGCACCCCCACGGCATGTAATGAGTACAGCCCACCAGCTCTCCCTGAAGAACTACGGACCAGTAACTATGTTGTTGTAAAGGACAAGAGAGAAGGGTATGCTGTAGTTAGTGAATGTTCTTGTATTCATATGATAGAAAAACAACAAGCCAAGCTTAGTATATTAGAGTAAAGGTAAAGGTATATTGGAGAAAAGGTGAAATACAAAGGAAATAGTTTTTAAGTTAAAATAGTAGTGTTATAGACTGCAATCCAGGACCTCGATGCAGTACGCTACTTATTGAAGCTGGGCTAAACTAGTTCTACATGGATCAGATTGAACACTGAGGATGAAAGTGACTCTAAATTATCACACTAAATGTATAAGCCTATCTATAGTATAGACTTTATCTGCACAAAATCTTTCGCTGTTCAACGGCTCTTCAGGTGTACAATGAAAAGTGTCATGTGTTGTTTTAAGCTGTAGTTCTTATGGGATGTAGTTCTTATGGGAGGACACCCCTGGATATGAGCGCCATATGCAGCCTTATGTTGACTCTTTTTGTCATGAATCTTTAGGCATAGATAAATACGTTACACATTATCTCCTTTAGTTCAGGTTCAGATTGGACATTTCTGTTTGAACGAATTTGTAAGGACCTTTGGAATGGGTACATATTCATGTTTTAGAGTCCAACCAAAAGTTGGTAGTGTCGATGAAAGGTTTTTGCAGAATACTCAGTTATCACACTGGCCTTACAGTATTTAATATGACACTTATAATAAGCTATTTGATAAAGGATTAATGTAGTGATTTGTGGTGAGTCGTTTCGTCATGAATCTTTAGGCATAGACATAAATATGAAGAGTGCTTTAGTTCAAGTTCAGATGGTACATTTGCTGGACCATCCAGCAATATATTTGAATATGTTTGAACGAATTTGTTTGGACCTTTGGAATGCATACGCTTCAGGTTTTAGAGTCAAGCAAAAAGCTGATAGTGCCTATGAACGGTTTTGGCAGAATTCTTCCTCAGTTATATCACATGTGGCATTATTTGATGACAGTAGGCTGGGACGGAAACAAATATGGGCCCGAATCTAATGATTAGCCGAATATCTTCATTTTCACGTACACCGACAGATGCATCGGATCACACTACATGAGACATCCAAATTCAATAATCAGCTATCGTTTAAAACGTTTCCACAATATCCCGGTTTAATATAAACCAGTGCTAAAAAGAAACTATACACCGCAAAATATTACATAAAATTCAAAAAAATATAAATGATGTCATAACACCATACTGAGCCATGTCACACACGTACAGACCCATCATTTCCGGGAACAAACGGCGAAACAAGTTAACGAATCGCCTAAACTGTCGAGTGAGTGAGTGAGTTTAGTTTTACGCCGCACTCAGCAATATTCCGGATATATGGCAACGGTCTGTAAATAATCGAGTCTGGACCAGACAATCCAGTGAACAACAACATGAGCATCGATCTGCGCAACTGGGAACCGAGGACATGTATCAACCAAGTCAGCGGCCTAAACTGTCGAGAGCTGTCGGAATGGCCCAACAAGGAGCTGACCACACCGTCATTGCCAGAACCTGCGAATGCACCCGAGCACCTGTCATCAGACTGGTGCAACAACTAAAACAAAAACAGGTAATACATCAGACTGGCCTAGGAGTGGTCGACCAAGTGTGACAACGGCCGGCGATGATCGCCACATCCGGACAATTCATCTAAGAAATCGTTTTATAACGGCGACGGCATTAGGATACCGTATCTGTCGACATACAGTGTACCGGCGACAAAGCGAACATGGTATTCGAGCACGTCGACCCAACAGCTGAGTGCACTGTTGAGCTCACAACTAGTTAATACCAAAAATTAGCATGCTATCAGAAGGGCACGAAGAGGTTAGCCTTTTCGCGAACACCTTGTGTAATCCCTGAGTTTCAATGATCCATTTATTGTTTTTACACAGCTTTTTTACTCTTACACCAAATGGAATCTGTTTCTGAGGATAGACCTGGTTTTCTATTATTTATAGATGTCCTGTCCTTTCAACAATAACCCCCTACACAAGGCGACCAATGTGCCCGTGTTGCTGTATACCCAGACAGGTGAGGTAAGGGATATCACGCCTGGGATATAATAATAAACAGTGCATTTATGATGCGCTAATCTCACTAGGTGAATGCTCATAGCGCTACGAATCTGATTATTATAACCCCGGACAACCCAAGATGCGTGTGAGGCGCTAGAAGGTTAATAGTGGCATGACTTATCACACTCTATACCCATTTTCTAGTGGGTGAACAGAGGCAATTTTGAACAAACTCACTTTCCTAAGGTGAGACCACATGTATCACATGTGCTTCGTCACGGGGCAGGAGTCAAGCTGCAAAACATGGTCACCCATCCATGGACTCTCCGCGCTCAACGTTGCTTAACGTCAACTGATTTGTGACCTGTGCTGTATGCATAGGACCACACACCACCATATATATATATATGTTTGGGTTAGGTTTAAAGTACACATCATTTCCCTTAATCTCTTGGGAGTAGTGAAACAAATGACGCCACATATTTAATAATATGAATAGGTTTTGTGGTACCAGCACAAACACATGTTGTGGCAAGTCAACTGGCTATATAGATCCGTTTGAGTGCATTACCTAACTGATAAGTGATATGACTCATTGATTGAGAGACTGTTCTTTCACATAAAGACAATTGATTTTCCCTTCAACAATCGTACTAATCTGAAAATATGTGATCATGTACCAGTCAGATTAATGAGCACGATGAAGGCCCCAGGTCTCCCGGATATGACAACACACGACTATCAAACTACTATCAAACTCACAGAGCCTCATCACATTGGTTTTAATATATTTATTTCAACTTCGTGTTATACAGCGTATAGGATGTTCGCCGTAGATTTTCCAAAGTATAAACATCAATGAATACCAGTACAGAAACAGATGACAGGCTGAAGCTATTCATGGTATGATTTGCACATATAATTAACTTAATAAATATCAGAAGATATTATACATGAAATACTATTTTGAGTGGTTCAGAATACAGGATGTCCTCCGTACATTTTACAGAGAATAAACATCAATGAATACTAGAACAGATACAGATGGCAGGCTGAAGCTATTCATGACATGATGGTCTTGCAAGAGTAAAAGCCTTGGGGACCCAACATTCATCCCAGTCGTGTCTATATGTTTCCAAATAGGTAGTTCATTTAGGAACAATTAATCGGAGATTTTGCAACTACAGGGCATTCAACGTTATTCATTTTGAAACGCGAACACATATACATGTACATAAAAATACATAACCACCAAACACACATTCACAGGTATTGCTTTTGAAAGCTCAGTACCACCAGGATGAAGTACAACATGGCGCACATGTTTCCCCAGAGAAAGATCAGCTGTCTTAAACAGCTTTCAGATTCTTGTATTTAATTAAATAAGCGTAATTTGGATAGCTAGCACGATAACACTGTCTTTCTGATATAGATCAGTTCTTTCACAATTTATCACCCATCGCATTCTTAGAAACAATCAAACACATCTGAAAAAGTTCCACACATGCATCCAGCAACAGGTATGTTAGAATAGAATATTTCATACAACGTTTCACTGATGCCATGTTACCATGTACAGGTATAATGTTTTTAGTTACGTTGACGACATCAGCACAGATTCCATGGTATGTGCCTTGACCAGTAGATTATCTAGATGGTAACCATACTGAAAGAACGCATGTCGTCACGATTGTCTTATCTATCACAAACATACCTAGAGAAGCACAATGTGCCATATTGAGCAGAAGAAAAATGAGCCTCCTACGAGCTGTATGTATTCTCACGACTTTTGTGATCTGTGAGTGTGCGGAGAAACCTCACATTGTTTTCATAGTTGCGGATGACCTCGGTTGGAACGATGTTGGATTCCGGAACCCTCAAATGATCACACCTAATCTGGACAGACTGGCCAAAGCGGGAGTCATCCTCAACTCCTCTTACGTCCAGCCTCTATGTTCGCCCTCCAGAAACTGCTTCATGTCGGGGTATTTCCCGTATCACACTGGACTACAAGATGGCGTTATTCAGACAGAGGCAGCACAATTCCTTCCTGTCAACCTGACAACAATCCCTCAGAAACTGAAACAACTTGGCTATGATACTCACATGGTTGGAAAGTGGCATCTAGGTTTCTGTAACTGGAAGTATACACCTACAGAGAGAGGCTTTGACACCTATCTTGGATATTACTCTGGAATGGAGGACTATTTTACTCACATATCACAGAATCACGGAGGTGACATGGGACTGGATTTTCACTTCAATAAAACTGCCTACAGAGACGCCAATGGTACATATTCTGCACATTTGTTTGCAGACAGAGCCATTGAAATCATCGACAACCACGATAAAAGCAAGCCACTTTATATGTACCTCCCATTCCAGTCGGTACATGAACCTCTTGAAGTTCCGCCCAAATATGAAAACATGTACAAGAACATAGAAACCAAAAAAAGAAGGATATATTGTGGAATGGTGACAGCGTTAGACGAAGCTGTTGGCAATATCACTAGGACATTAGAAGAAAAAGGGCTTATGGACAATCTACTATTAGTCTTTACAACTGATAATGGTGGTCCTACGTATAAAGCTGCTAATAACTTGCCTTTGCGAGGTGCCAAGGCTACACTATGGGAAGGGGGAACGAAAGGAACTGGATTCATCTACAGTAAATCCCTTCTCAAGAAGACGGGCTACCTCAACACTGGAATGATGCATGCTGTGGACTGGTACCCGACATTGGTGGAGTTGGCTGGTGGAGAGAACACAGATCCCAACATGGACGGAGTCAGTCAGTACAACATGCTCATCAATGGTGGAGCCAGCAAGCGAAATGAGTTCGTCTACAACATCTATGACGAGATTGATGCAGCTGCAATACGGTACGGAGATCTTAAGCTCATCCAAGGCAGTCCAGGAGCTCACAATGGTTGGGCTCCTTTGCCACATCTGGGAATTGATGAAGGTGTCTATGAAGCTGATAACCAAACGTTCCCTCCCTTCATGCTCTACAACATCACTGCAGATCCAACCGAACACTTCGACCTCTCAGCCATGTACCCTGAGCTGGTGGACATGATGAAGAAGAGGCTAGAAATCTGGAAACAGTCTGGTGTTCCGGCGCAGGACAATTCTAGTATTCCTGCAGCAAACCCAAAATACTATGACGGTGTATGGAGCCCAGGCTGGTGTTAATTTCTCTGAACTGATAAATGGACATTTCAAACTGCATCATTTCCATTTATTTTCACGTACATACAATTTCTTAATAAAAATCTTTATTTCAGAAAATGGAAGGAAAAAGTTACGATAATGAAATCAATCGCTCTTGAAGAAACCATGCACACTTTGCATAAGCATTGCCAGGACGTCAAGGTGGCAAGGTGCGAAGGTGGCAAGGTGGGCGAGCTGTCAAAGGCGCCGCGCTAGTAAGCGAAAGGTGCCTGGATCGATCCCCACTTGTGACCTGGTGTAAAAACCTTGGAGCTAACATTACTTGCAGGCTCTTTCATTGTTGTCACAACCCCTTGTGTGCAGTACACAACCCTCTGCACTTAAAATAACCCACTAATCCGATGGTAGGTGACCAAATGGTGGACACACGAACACGTGCAGGCACCTAGTTGCGGGTATAGTAACGTGAAGTACCATTGGGCAAAGGACTGTGACTATGTGTCCCAGTTCACATAACTGCAAATGGGTACCTTGTGAGGATGAGACTGTGTGATAACTCGCTGCTCCTAACGGGTTACATGAATTGAATACTCCCCAGGGAGTTGAGTTGGTTAAAAGAATGCCAGGAAAAAAGACCGTTGATCAAGGGAACACTCCAGCGCCTTGAACGTATACTAGTTGCGTGGATATGTGCGCTATATAAATATCCTATAATAAAGTCAAGTAGACGCTACGTATCTTGTATTCAAAGAGCATATCCAAATTCAAACAAAATTCAATAAAATTATATAAATCATAAGAAGATTGTACGATGAGCATTCTTCTAATAGTATTTCAAGTAGGTATTTTTAAAGCGTCACGAACTTAATATGCCACCATATCCACCAGCATACAAAACAGACAGACAGACACAAAATGAAACATTTAACAATACACAAATACAAAGTGCAAGATATTATGAAGTCACCTTGCCTGAAAATATTTATAACCTTCACTGAAACAGTTTCACATGGCCAATAGGCCGACGTTTGGATTTGTTTTCTATTTTTATGCTTTTGACATTTTTGGTGCATTAAAAAGGCCAAATGCGGGATACTAGGCAAACCGCAGCAATGGAGAATATTGCCCAACGAAAAAGGCCAACCCGTGCCTAAATTTGGAGGAAAAATGTTAAGTTGTAATTCGACGGTGTTGCATTTGATACGGGTATCCCAACCCACCACAACTGCAACAATATTATTTCACCTGTTTACATCCAACACCTTCAAAGTATAGAAGCCTTCTGCCAAAATCGGACTGGTGGAACAAATATGTACTTGGGATTATAATCTTTTAAGTTTTTGTTTTTGTGGTGTCATCTTGCACATGAAATGAAGGTTGTCAGATATCTTTATATCTTGAATAAACACCATGACTAGTCTAACAAAAATCACTACAATTAAGTGAAAAACATTTTTATTTATATTTTTGTCTAATTCTAAGGTAAAGTTTTTGTAATGTAGTGTTTAAAAAGTAAATATAATGATGAGATTATTATAGAAAGATACTACATTCAAATATGTTGTAATAATGTTTCAATAATTAAAAAACAAAAGCACCACAATGAACTTTTCGTCACTTTGTATTTGATCCGTTTGTTTGAGTTTTTTGGTAATTACTAAAAGTTTGTGCTACAGATTTTGTAACCACTAAAAACAAAACTTGACAAGACTTTGCATTGATTATGACGGGTACCACCGGTAAACATGGTTATGCTCACCTTTTCGCGATCACCTGGTGTCATTCACTATTTCACAGTGATTCATACACACATCCTGTCATCGTATCGCATGGTGGCAATCACTGGATTGTCTGCTCCAGACTCGATTTGTTTACAAACAACATCGTATAGCTGTACTACTGCTGAGACAAACACTACCCATCAAAAGTTTAGACACACTTAACGCACTCGCTAAATGTTATGTATGTATGCATATTATCAGTTGTTCGGGCTCAGGGAACATAAACAAACATCGAGGGTACATCAACCCATGCCCCCCTCGTGACCAGTGAACAACGTATTTTTCTTACCGAACACCTTGATATGAATTTTAAATTGTTTGAAGCACGGGTACAAATCTTTTTGTAGCCATCGCTAGATTTTGCGGACAAGAAAAACACATTTAGAGTTATCTCCCTTCCATCGATTTGCACTCGCAAAACATCGGTAATTTCCGTACATCATACGTGATTCAATGTTATTCGAGATAAAGAATTACTACCACGAAGTACAGAATGAGTTGCCATTAACAGCGGGGTACATTGAACTGTTACTCGCTTGTAAGCGGGGTACATTGAAGATAATAGAAGAGCGCTCAGACAATCAGAAAGCGACATTTATGTGTGCGGTAAGATAAATAGAGAATACTACACGAGGTCTCATTACATACCAATTGCACGAAACGAGTGTCCTTCCTATGGTATCTGACCGAGCGAAAGCGAGGTCAGATAACATAGGAAGGTCACGAGTTTCGTATAATTCGTATGTAATGAGACCGAGTGTGGTATTTTATTTATTACCCACGTCTTACATGCATTTAAATTGACAAAATAGCCTATATTTGTTATGTTTTTGGTTTCAAACCGAAACCGGTTTCATAAAGAGGTTGCGGAAGAGTTTTGTACTGTAGTACAATATTTGCATGACGTCACACTAATGACATCACTGCCATGGTAACCGACGTCACGATGCATGTCAGTTGTCATCGCCTCGTACAGCCTCCTACAGTAAACTACTCCGTTGCACCTCGTTTCTTGGTTTCCAGTTGCTTCATTCGGTTAACATCACTGGTGGAAACATTGCGTTTATGTTTTTCGACGGATATAATGTCTCAGTTCGACTCACAATTAAACAGCGACACGGCAACGTTCGCAATGTTTACATTCCCACAATGCATTTAGTTGTAGAATGAATGAATTCACGTGTTTGTTATGAATGAAAAAATAGTTACGTCAGAATGTGACCTAATTGAAAGGTCATCGGTTATCCAATCAAATCGTTAGAATTTCAGGTCAAGTCGTTACGACACAGGTCAACGCGATACGACACTTGTGTAACGTACGAGATTAATATGCAACTACCCATACGTTGACCACGTGGGTAATAAATATATATATTACCCATCAAAAGTTTAGACTCACCTAAAGCATTCACTATATGTTATGTATAGATATGTGGTTACATCGAAGATGAAATTCTCCACTAACTTAGAGGAAGCAACTGCAAACTTTATGCAGATGAATTGCACGAGGATCACGCATCACATTGCTGAAAAGCATGTGCAAATATCGTGCATGTGAACAGTTGCGTTTTGTCACATGCAACGTAAAACACAACTTTGCAGATTCTGATACCTTTCGGTATGGACTTACCGAAACAAATCATCAAAAATGCAAATTCAACTTATAAAGTTGAAAAATAACGCGATGAAAAAAACCGCGCGAAATCGGAGTTCAACCGATTCACTAATTTTCCCCCGACTTTTCGGGGAAAACTGGTTTCAACAACTGCGCTGCGCTCATAGCACGTGCGCAGTGAAATAGGTTCGCGCAGCTTGGAAGTGGGTTGTCCGGTGAAAACTCGGTGAAGGCTTTGGTGTGAGCTATTTTTCTAATGTTTTGTTGATATTTCACAGGCGCGAGCTTTTTATATGTTATGACAGTAGATTAACTGTTTATATAATTTCATTTGTCTATTTCACCACACGTTCTTCTTACCGAGTCACTTTCTCAGTTCGATACTTAAAAGCAATGTCATTATTTAGCGTTGACACAATTTCAAACTGTGATATAGATATGTCGTTGTCACAGACAAAACTCAATGTCTGTTTATTGACACCTATGTGTCTGCCTGCCTGTCTGCTAATGACCATATTCAATACACAACTGCGATCACTGACCAAATGCAATTTGAACTTAACACCAATCAGGCTATACACCATAAACAAAATGCATTGATTTATGGCCCGAGTTCGGTCTATGTCACATTATGTAATTACACAGACAGGCAGGTGCGATACTTGTACACATGACATGTTATGATGTCTGTTGATTGCAAAATGTTATGCACAAAAAATGAGCATGTATTTACAAAACCCAACATCTCTATATATACACACACAATTAGCCGTGAGGGGATCTGCAAATGAACCAGCCGTTACACTTGACTGCACACCCACCTGCTCTGACTGGGTTCGGTATCCCGGCTGCTTCGTTTCTTGGGAAGTAAACCCAAGTACACAATATTGCACTTTTGATTTGCGATTGTACGCTTATAATTTTGTTTATATGTTTTTTCATAACCAGCAATGTATATTATATGTCATGAATAAGTGATAATTGTGTTTTAATTATGTTTGATTTTTTGGTTGCATGTGACCTTTAAGAATTCACCAATTTTCACTGAGTTTCACTGTGTAAACAGTACATTTAAACAGTATGGAATATTTTGCAAAATCTATATATAGTTTAGGACAGTTAGCTGAAGTAAGTGGCTAAATTTACATTAGTGAGTCTTAACCTTTGATGGGTAGTATATATAGTCATGCTACAGTCTGGATTGTACAATCGACTCTTTCTTATGGATGTGGAAAGGGTTTTGTCTCCTGAAAACAAGTATTAATGTTTAGTCACTTGGTATTTTCAGTATTTATAATTACTAAAAACATTTGTGTAGCAAGTAGTACAAAACCCGACATTATAGATGACCTTGGGCCCAAAACAAGGTGGAACTGTCTGAAATTCAAGACAATTTACATTACCCTCTTGTATCAGAGAGACCACCAAAATATACCCCTGGCGCTTGCTTGTAAGATGGGAAAATTATACGACACCAAAGACTGCTTTCTCCTTCTTCACGTCAATACGTATGTACTAAACGAGATACTTGTTCACTGCAACCCCAGAGAATTAACAGTTTCCAGCGTTTGACGAAGCATATTTCGTGGATCGTTAAGACAAATTAGTAAAGAAATTTACAGGAATGGATCACTGACAACAGCGAAGAAACGAAAGGTCTA